CGACCACATGTAAAAGCAGAAATCAGACCCACAGACTGCACAGGAGACCAAGCCCTTACCTGCAATGAACAGCCCAGGATGCCCACCTGCTATCTGCAAATCAGACTTGCAGGAGTCCTGATCGCTGTCCTAGTGACGATCCAAAACGCTGAGCAACAACACCCTGTAACAATTAGCCCCAGCTGGTCGGAGCTTAATAACTCACTGCCCTGACTCCTGTCCTGACGTCCATTGAGGACAAACCGAGAAAGACAAACGTGCTCCCCCGACACTCACACGGGACGCCCCGATTCCTGTTGCCGCCCCAGCTCCCAGGCCAGCAGCCTCCATCGGGGCTCACCGGGCGCCTTCCCTTCCCCTGGGAATCTCCCACACCCAGCCTGCTGGAGTCTGCAAAAATGCAAGTGATGGCGGTCGGTTCCCTAACTCTAAGGAGCTCGGGACAAGTAGCCTCTGTCTGTTGTCGTTTGGGCAGTCTTTGCTTATTTCCACCCTACTCAGGAAACAATTTGAGGCCCCCAAGTAATTTTGGGGGTGGCCTTCCCAACTTGATGAGGTTTTGTAAACCGTCAGAGAGAGAGGCTGGGAGTGTCTGGCGAGAGACATGGCGCCTGAGTTATGATCTCATTTTAAGGTAGTGTCACAACCTCAATTTTTCAGTTTCTTTGTAAAGTCAGCAACCTCCATCTAGACTTCTATATCCCCTGATTAACCTCTGCACTCAATTCTATCTAAATAACTTTAAACTAGTGCCTAAGTTCTGAAGATCTTTGAAGATGACAATGCTGTAATCTTTTTAAACCTTCTTTTCTGGATAGGTCATTTCTTACTTGGATTCTAATACTCCTAGGCCACACCTCCCTTTAAAGAGGTCACTCCTCGTACGGGAGGGAGACAGAGTCTTGTTGACTCCAACACGGTCTCCTCCTGGATAGAGGATCAGAGATTCTCTCTTAGGGAAAAAATGAGAGGATTGGGCTTTTCCATGACCAGTCTCACTGCAGCAAGACATTTCTCAGGAACACCTCTGCCGTCAGACATGCCTGACAAAGCTGGGTCCTGGGGAGAGGCCTCTGCCGTCAGACATGCCTGACAAAGCTGGGTCCTGGGGAGAGGCCTCTGCCGTCAGACATGCCTGACAAAACTGGGTCCTGGGGAGAGGCCTCTGCCGTCAGATATGCCTGACAAGGATGGTTTCTGGGGCAGATGCTGTTCAGGTGTCAGGAGGCCCCTTCTGTGGGGACAACTGTGTGAGACGCCTTGCTTGGGGTTGATGCACACGACAGTTTAACGATGGCGTGTCTCTGGCTCTCTCCCCGATGGCCTTGGGTGTTTTTGTTCCCCACATATCAGAGAAGGCAAATGAGTTGAACACCTACTGTTTGCATCTCACACATGAGAGGAAACAATTTGTTCCTTAGAAAAGGGAAACACAATGATTGTTCATGGTTTTTATCAGATGCCTCACATGTTTTGTTGGTGGCGTGCGGAAAGAGCATGTTCTGCTGTTGCTGGGCAGGGCTACCAGCCTCCGAGGGGAGGGGTGGATCCTAAGGAAGGCCGAGCTCCCAACGTATTTGGCCAGAAAACAAGGCTGTGGTGGAAGCCGGGGACAGCTGTTGGGCCCTAAGTATTGATAGCCATGATTTACTGATTATCTCTCTTTCGGGCTCTAAGATGGAATTCTCAATTTCCCGATTCCATCACCGGCCCCTCCCTCTTCTTTCCTTCTCTGATTAATTTCCCGCCTTTATCTGGCCATCCACACACACATCCCTGTGTTTGTGGGTAATACTGATCCTTCTTTATTTGGTTATCTTACCTTGCTCAACGAAGATTCGAAGCAACTGGAAGGACATCATGAACAATGCTCTAGAAAGAAAAAACCCATTAAATTGAAAAACAAGAAGAGGATGAAAGGAAAGTAGGATGCAAGGATGGGGTCAGAGACCAAAGGTGACTCCATCCAGAGGAAAGTCCAGCACACTCCACGTTTGGCCTCACACAGGGAAGGCCTCATTAGGACCAGCTGTGAGGCCTCCCTTTCGACCACTCTATTTGATACTGAAAAGCAGGGTGCTCAGGAGCTGCCATGTGCCTGTTTTATTATTATACAAGGAGGGCTGTGCCAACTACATTTGTTAGGATGGGAGTTTCTCTTTGTGTTGTTTCCTGCTTGACCCAGGGTCTGAACGGTGACTGATAACTTGTGAGTGTCGAAGTGAAATACACATGATGAAAGCCTGATTGTCTTCATACACTTAAACTGCTTCTCCCTTAAGACCCTGAGCTCTGCCTCATTACCCAGCTGTGTTGTGTAAACCAGTAAGTGTCTGAGACAGGTCTCAACCAGTTCAGAAGTTTATTTTGCTAAGGCTGAGGACTAAACTCTGATTTTTTTTATCTTGCCCAAATTCCTATTGAAGGGGTCTGGGGAGTCACGCCCTGCAAATCTTACATTCTCATCAGATGGGTTTTATTCAACCTATATATCACGACTTAATTTTCCAACCTGACTCTGGCACATTACAAGACAAGGAAGAAACTCAAAATATTTTGCCACAAAACATGTTTCTTTGCCATATTTTGAAATGGCCCTGCAAAGCTGTTCTTTGTAGGGGGAAATTTTGCATCTGTAAAGAATCTCTGTTAACATAACTGGATCTTTTTCTTCTAGGCCCTCTCAACCCTGAAGAGATGAACTAAGATCTGAGTAGGAAGGCCAGGTGCAGTGGCTCATGCCTATAATCCCAGCACTTTGGGAGGCTGAGGTGGGAGGATCACAAGGTCAGGAGTTCAAGATCAGTCTGGCCAACATGGTGACACCCCGTCTCCACTAAAAATACAAATGTGATGGTGTGTGCCTGTAATCCCAGCTACTCGGGAGGCTGAGGCACGAGAACTGTGTGAACCCAGAAGGTGGAGGCTGCAGTGAGCCAAGATTGCACCATTGCACGCCAGCCTGGGCAATAGTGTGAGACTCCATCTCAAAAAAATAAATAAATAAAATACAATCTGAACAGGAGACATTAGCCATCTATTGTCTCTAAGAGAAGTCACTAAAGACTTCAAAAGAACTTTGGTTTCCACAATCTTTATCTTAACTTGAACATTCCCTTTCTATCAATCCCAGGTCTTTAGACAAACTCAACCAATTGTCAACCAGAAAATGTTTAAATTCACCGATAGCCTGGAAGCCCCCACTTTGAGTTGTCCCACCTTTCTGGACCAAACCAATGTATTTCTTAAATGTATTTGATTGATGTCTCGTGCCTCCCTAAAATGTATAAAATCAATCTGTGTCCCGACCACCTTGGGCACATGTTCTTAGCACCTCCTAAGGGCTGTGTCATGGACCATGGTCACTCATATTTGGCTCAGGATAAATCTCTTCAAATATTTTACAGAGTCCAACTCTTTTTGTTGATAATGTGCCCCTTCATGCATTTGTAATTTTTTTCTGTACTCTTCACCTATTTTATCATAATCTCTTTATTAAAAGGTTTTTATAGCCATTATTTTAAGAGCTCTCTAGTACTCCATAAAGTTCATGGATCATGAATTGCTTAATCATTCCTCCATAATCGGACTTCAGGGTTGTTTTTATTGATTTTGGTACATTTGTAATTGTTTTGGTATTTCTAGTATAGACTGAGATTGAGGCAAAATATAAATTTTCTAAGATTTTTGAAAATATTATTAAGTTGCTTTCTAAAATATTTACGCCAATTCTCAGGCATACTGCTCCTATGGAAAAATAGCTTTTAAGAATCCTAACAGACAGACCCGAGTCAGCACATCATTAACTTGACTTCCTCCTAAAGACAGCCTTTGACAGAGCTTCTTCCACCCTGCGGGTCTAGAGAGGCAGAGATGCAGGGTCACAGGAATGAGAGTCGCCCCTCTCTTCTGTCAGCTCTGGGGACTCTACCAAGGACTGGAGGGGGACTCACTGCAATCACCCGCACTTCCAGGAGGCAGTGCTGTCGCCAACGAGCCATCAGAACACACTAGCTTATAAGAAGTGCTCAGGGGGCCTTGAATCGTGAAGCAGCTGAAGGCACCACTGGGAATAAATTATGAAATTTAACCAAGGTTATCAGAGTCCCTTTCTCAAATTTTATATTTTGGGTGATTGTGTCTATGAGAGGAGGGTAGTTCTGGAATTTTAAACCATGACATTTACTAATACAGTTGATGTGAAAGTGGGTAATTCATTGTTAAATTATATTTGAAGGGCAATTTAAGTTTTATGGGTGACTTGCTGCTGGGATCCTTGCCAATAGCACGGAAGTAACAAGGCATCATCTTTCAACAACCAGGTAACCAATGATGGGCCGCCTGTCCTTCTGCTCCCCTGACCTGAAACTGGAGAAGGACACGTCTCCCAGTTAACCTGAATCAGTCAGGAGGTGGCAGCCAGTTTGGGACATTTTATAAAACAACGGTCCTGGGCTGTTGAAAACTGTCTGTGATCTGGGAGACAGGCAGGCTGAGAAACTGCTCAGTAATAAGGAGGTGACAGGGACAGAGACAGGGGCAGGGATGGACAGCTGGGAGCAGTGCACCTCCTCGACTGGATTCCAGAAGAAGAAAGCCTCTATGAAGGACGTGACTGCCTGGCCTGGGCACGCTGAGATGTTGACCAAAGCACAATGGCAAAGCCCCCAAGTGTGGTGGCTGCAAGGCTGCTGGTGGAGAATTCCCTGTCCAGGGGAGCCCTGTGCCGGGAGGCACCATGTCCTCCATCCAGGCTGGCTCTCAGATGGCCTGGCCCAGCGAGGGGCAGGAGCAACAGCAAATGGGAAAAGGACGGCCCAGTGGGGATGCCGAGACACTCACATAGTTTTCTAAAAGTCATTAACTCCTATATGCCTCGGAGTTGAGAACCAAACTGGTAAAAATGTTAAAAGCAACTAAGCTGGAGTGAAAGGCTTCGAGTGGATCCCACGGGGCTCCAGACAGCATTTCCCAGACTCAAGTGAAGACGCAGACCCGGG